GTTATGTATATATAATGTCAAACCTAAGGCAACCACTAAAAAAGCTACACAAAGAGACACTAAAAAATACTGCATATAAATCAAAAGTGAATTATAAAAATTGTTGAAGGCAGAAAAAAGGAATGAGAAATGAAAAATAGAGGAAAGTAGAAAACAAAAAAATGAAATTGCAGACTTCAGTCCGAACATATCAATAATCACATTAAATATAAATGGACTAAATACAACAATTAAAAGATTGTCAGAGTATATTAAAAATAGGACCTAACAATAGGCTGTTTATAAGAAATTCTCTTCAAAAATAACAATATAGGCAGGTTGAAAGTAAAAGGATAGATAAAGATGCATAATGAAAACATAAATTAAAAACGCAGGAGTTGCTATATTAATATCAGATACAGTAGACTTGAGAGCAAAAGAAAAAAAAATTAGCAGTGATAGAGGGGGCTATTATATAATGATTAAAGAGTTGTTCCATCAAAAAGACATGGCAATCCTAAATGTGTATGCACTAAATTACTGAATTGCAAAATACATGAAGCAAAAATTGACAGGTTTGAAAAGAGAAATAGACAAATTCACAAATATAGTTGAAGATTTCAACACCCCTGCATTATCAGTTGATAGAAAACTAGACAGAAAATCAACAAGGATATAGAAAACTCAACATCAGTAACCAATAGACTCTAATTGATATTGACAGAATTCCACCCATCAGCAGCAAAACACATATTCTTGTCATGCGACTATGGAACATATACCAAGAGAGACTATATCCTGGATCAGAAAACAAATCTCAACACATTTAAAAAGAATTAAAGTCTTATGGAATGTATTATTTGACCACCATGGAATCAAATTAGATGTGAATAATAGAAAGATAACATGAAAATCTCTGAGCACTTAGAAATTCAGCAACATACTGAATTATAAATAATAATCAATGGGTCACAAAGGCAGTCTCAGAAGACATAAAAAATACATTGAACTGAATGAAAATAAAAATACAACATCAAAATTTGTGGGTCACAGATAAAGAAGTGCTAAGAGGACTCATTATAGCACTAAGTATATCATTAGAAAAAAGGAAAAATCAGTAACCTAACCGCCCTATTCAAGAACCATGAGAGACGTTGGACTCTGAAAAACAAACTGAGGGTTCTAGAGGGGAGGGACGTGGGAGGATGGGTTAGCCTGGTGATGGGTATTAGAGAGGGCATGTTCTGCATGGAGCACTGGGTGTTATGCACAAACAGTGAATCATGGAACACTACATCAAAAACTAATGATGTAATGTATGATAATTAACATAACAAAAAAAAATTAAAAAAAAAGAACCTATAAAAAGGAGAGCTGAATATACCCAAAGAAAGCAGAAGAAAGGAAATAATAATGTTAAGAACAAATGCCAATAAAATTGAAAGCAGAAAAACAATCAATGAAAAAAATATGGCCATTTGAAAATTGATGAAATTGACAAATCTCTGCAAGACTAACAAAGAATAAAGAGAAAAGACACAAATTACCAATATCAGGAATGAAAAAGAGTGATGACTGCAGACCCTGCAGACATGGAAAGGATAATATGAGGATATAACAAACAGCTCTATACACATACATTTGCCAACTTAGATGAAATGAACCAATTCCTTAGAAAGCACAAACTACCACAACTTACCTAATAATAAATAGATGATTTGAGTATCCCTATAATTAATAAGGACATTGAACATAAAATTTTTAAGCTTTCAAAGAGGAAAATCTGGTCCCAGATGGGTTCACTAGCAAGTTCCAAGAGACACCTAGAGAAGTAACACCAATTCTACACAATCTCTTCCAGAAAACCATTTATTTTATGGTAGTGTTATCCAGATACCAAAACCCAAAAGACAGTACACACACACAAAAAAAAAGAAAGAAAGAAAAGAAAACCAGACACAAATATCCCTCATGAACAGAGACACAAAAATCCTTAACAAAACATTAGCAAATAGAATTCATATAAAATTACATATATCCCATGATCAATGGGGTTTATTCTAGGGATGCAAGGCTGGTTCAGTACTTGAAAAACTATTAGTGTGATTCACCATGTAACAGGCTAAAGAAGAAATGTCACATGATTCTATCAATTCATATAGAAAAAGCTTTTGACAAAATTTAACACCCATTCATGATAAAAACTCTCAGATAAATAGGAAACATGAACTTCCTCAAATTGATATAGAACATATATTAAAAAAATGCATAACAGCTTACAACTAACATTACCTTTAATGATGAAAGACTGAATTCTTTCCCCTTAAATCAGGAAGTAGGTCAAGAATGTGTGTACTCACCACTCTTATTTAATATAGTGCTAGAATTTCTAGCCAGTGCAAAAGGAAATTAAAAGCATAGAGATCAAGAAATAAAACTGTCCCTATTTTCAGGTGGCATTTTTGTTTATGTAGAAAATCCCAAGGAACTTAAAAAACACACTTGTCAATCTAATAAGTGAGTTCATCAAAGTAGTGGGATACAAGATAAACATACAGAAATCAATTATATTCTTTTATAATAGCAATGAACACCTGGACACCAAAATTGAAAATACAATGCCATTTACAGTCACTAAAGAAATTAAATACTTAGGTATAAATCTAACAAAACATGTATAAGACTTTTATGTTAAAATCCAGGAATATCTAAGAGTAGATACCATGTTCACGGACTGGAAGACTCACCAATACAAAGATGTCAATTACCCCAAACTGACATACAGATTTAACATAATTCCTATCAAATTTTCAGCAAGATTTTTTTGGTACACGTAAACAAAATTATCCTAAAATTTATATGAAAAGGCAAAGGAATCAGAATAGCTATAATGAATTTGAATTAGAAAAATAAAGTGACAGGGATTAACACACCCAATTTCTAGATTTATTTCTAGCCATAGTAATCAAGATTCTGTGATCTTGGTAGAGAGATAGGCACATATATTAATGGAACAGAATGGAGAATCCAGAAATTGACTAACACAAACATATTCAATGGATTTTTGACAAAGGTGCAAAATCAATTCAATGGAAATACAGCCTTTTCAACAAATGGTGTTAGGCCAATTGGACATTCACAGGCAAAAAACCCAAAACAAACAAACAAACAAAAAACCTTGGCCTAAGTCTGACAGCTTATATAAAAAGTAACTCAGTATATATCATGAACTTAAATGTAAAATCTAAAATTATAAAATTTTTAGGAAAAAAGTGGAAGTCTTTAGGATCGAGGGTTAGGCAATGCATTTTTGGACTTTCTACCACAAGCATAATCCATAAAAGGAAAGATTGATAAGTTGGATCTTATCAAACTTAAGAACTTTTGCTCTGTGTAAGACCCATTAGTGAGGATGAAAAGACAAGCTACACACTGGGAGAAAATATTTGCAAGCCATGTATCTGACAAACAACTAGTACTAGGAATATAATCTTTCAATCTACAGGTAAAAAAATCAATTAGAAAATGTCCAAAGACATGAAGAAACATTTTATGGGAGAAGATATATACAGATAGCAAATAAGTACATGAGAGATGTTCAGCATCACTAATCATCACTAATCATTAGAGAAAAGCAGAATGGCTAAAATAAAAACTAATGACAACACCAAATGCTGGCAAGGATGCAAAGAAACTGGCTCACTCATGTATTGCTGATGGGGATATAAAATGGCACAACCATTCTGCAAAATAGTTTGGCAGGTTTTTAAAGAAAATTTAACATACATACTCCAGTACAAACCAGCAATTGCTCTCCTGGGCATTTATCCCAGAGAAAGGAAAACTTTTGTTCATATAAAAACCTGTATGCATATGCTTCCAATAGCTTTGTTCATAATTACTTCAAACTGGAAGCAGCACAGTGTCCTTCAATGAGTGAATGGTTAAATGATCTGTACCATAGAACACACTACTCAGCAATAAAAATTAGAGAACTACTGATACTCCAACCTGGATGAATCTCCAGAGAATTATGTTGACTGTATGATTTCATTTATGTAATATTTTTGAAATGACAAAATTATACTAATTATAAGTCAATTAGTGATTTCCACTGTGTACGGAGGAGGTGGGATGGGAGGGAAATGTTTATTGCTATAAAAAGACAATCTGAGGGAATCTTACGGTAATGGAAATGTCTATCTTGACTCTATCAATGTCAATATTTTGATTTTGGTGTGGTACTATAGTTTTGCAAGATGTTACCACTGGGGGAAATGAAGCAAAGGGTGCAGGAATCTGTTTCTTACAACTGCCTGTGAGTCTACAATTATCTCAAACTAAATTGTTTAATTAAAGAAAAAGGCAGTCCTCTACTGGCTCCTAGATTAAAATCCAAAGCCTTTGCCTGGCCCTTTCCAACCTCACTCATGTCCTACTTCTCTTTCCCTTGCATATCATGCTGCAGCCATAGTGGCCTTTTTGCTGTCCCTGGACCTGCTTATTAGCAAGCTCTCACCACAGGGCCTTTGTACTTGCTATTCCCTCTGCTGGGAAAGCTCCTCCCTCTGGTTTACTTACTTCATCCTGTTCTCTGCCTCACTGTCACCTTATTAGAGGTTTTCCTTGAATACTTTCTCTAAGGAGCATGCCTGTCACAATCTAATGCCTTATTTGGATTTATTTTTCTTCTTTCAGTAAAAACATATTTGATACTTCAAAAAATTCCACATTCCTGGGATGGGAACATTAAATTCCCGTTATGCCTTCACTTTTCTATGTGTTCTTCTGGAATTTGGAGCATTTGATTAAAAAACAAACCAAAGAACCTGATCTCTATTATCTTTCTTTTGTATTTTCTTTCTTTCTGCTGATGTCTAGGTGCAATTCATGGGTTCTATAGTAGTAAATGCTCAGTTTATCACAATCCACTGGTATTTCCCCAACAGCTAAAATTTGAGAGTTGACCTCTTTACAAAGTGAATCTGCCTCTAAATGACTTAGCTCTAATTCTCTTCTAGGCTTTTTAATCAGTCTGCTGTGTAAAGACATACTTCAAGAGGATCCTTAGAAGTCTTGGACAAACTTACCCTTATGTGGCAGGTATGTCTCTGTCTACACACTAAGTATGCAAGACATGTAACTTTCTTTATTCTTCTATAGCTAAATCTAAATTACATTTTGATCTTCTATTTAACCATGTGGAAGCAATCTGAGGTTACATCTAAGTTCTAGGTAAGTTTGTGAGATACCAAGCTTTTGAGGATGACATACCTGTTCTTTGGCTGCCATTTCTTCATTAGCCACAGATTTCCTCCTCTCCCTTGTCAGTACTTGCAGGCAACTGCTGAGGCATACCTTGATCTTCCTTTGAGGATTTTCTGCTCTCCTTCTTCAAGCTTTTCCAGGTACCTCCTGGGCATATCAGGGCATGCTGTCACTCCTGCTGAACCAGAAGAAACTCTCTGTGGTGGGATGAAATTCTTCGCTCCTCTCATGCCACTCTGAAGCACATGATACCTGTGTTGCTATTGTATCATGCTACTGTATGGGATCCTTTGCAGGCCTGGTCAGGTCCATCTGCCTGGACATACTGCTTGGCCATCTCTAAGGTCCAGGCTATATCCAAGAAAGAAGATCCTTTCCCTCCTACCATTATCTCTTACCCACATATTTGGGGTTCCTCTCTGTGACAGTACTTTGAACAAGCACAACTTAGGAAATCAATCAAAACATAATTTATTTTTTTACTTGTTGTTTCTTTAAAATGAATTGGGAAAGGGTGGTGGGAGTTCCCTTGCCTTTGGAAAAAAAAAAAAATAGGTCTCAGGCAGGCTCCATCCCTAATAGGACTACTCTTAGATTTAAAAAAAAAGAATTCTTTTTGGCACTTTAGATTCCAAACATAGTCTTCATTCAGAAATTAGAATGTCTAATCTCAGACCATAATCATAGCTTGAAAGTTAATTTAATATCCATCATCCCTTCTCCCCCATCTGGGGCCCGTTTTTGGGTTGGGCCAAAAATTGTACTGGGAGAGGGTGTGGGTTTTTTTTTTCTCTTTTTATCTGTCACCTCCTCTCCCACTTGCTATCTATTGCTAAACCTTAAGTGGTTGGAGCATGGGAAAGAAGAGGAAATAAATGGCTTAGGAATGTTTCTTACTTGAAATGGTCCTGTGTTAAGCTGGCTCCATGCATTCTGGGCCTGGCGATGGTTAAAACTGATGCTCAATAAAATAAAATAAAATAAAATAAAATAAAAAATAAAACTGACACTCATTTGGCTCCTTTTGGGGTCTTTGATGGTTCCCTGCTGGACCCATCTGGCTCAACTCCCCTGAGTTGGGTAGGGCTTCTTCTGTAGCTATTCACTTTCCAATGGAGCATCTGGTTTTCAGACAGTCCATTCTATATGCACTCTCATCTGGGGTATCAGTGATACTTCCAGATGATCATCTTGGGCTTCAGCATGGCTCTCTCATACGTGGCTCACACCGACTTCATGAAAACATGAATCTTATGAACCTCTATGGGCAGGAAGGGTGCAGGTACTTCTCAGATTCCAGAGCTGCTCCTAGCCTGACCCTCTTGTCCTCCAGATTTCCAAGGTGAGAATCAGTCTGCAGTCCATTGGGTTTCCCAGACTCCAGGGGACACATTCAGGCTGTCTAACTTGTTCCTTTGAAGTCTCTGTAAATACTTGAGAGAGAAAAAGTGTACCTTCCAGCTCTCTTGCTTGGGGGGAGGTGGGGTTTACCATAGAGTAGCAGCTCAATCCAAGAATCTCTTCATAAAACTTCTCCTAATTTCTATTGTTTTGATCCTTTACATTATCTTGTTGGTTTTAGGGCCATCTGACCAGTCTCGTGATTTTCTTTTAAAATCTGGATTTTGATCTGGCAAAAAAGCCCTTTACTTTGGAATTTCATACCTGTTCAATGGAGGTAACTCAGCTGAATCTTTCAATCTAATGTCTGGTCATTCCAACCCTACTAGGATGAGTTGAGGTGGTGGGGGGAGAGGTAAAGATGCAGTCACTCCACCCCAAATTGCACCTGGATCCACTAATGTCTGTATATGTCTTGACCACCTTATTTTTCACCCAGAGGGATCTAAATCTACTCTAAGGTTAGTTAATACATAGGAGAGTCTCTTCTAAGTCTCTTTTGTATGCATGGGAGTCATTACAATTTCCCAGAGGGTCTTAGGCTTTTGAAACTCAAAAACCAGTAATTTAATTGACACTTCCCCTGCTCTGCCAATGATTTTCTAATGCTGTGAGTTCAGAATACAGCAATTTGGCTGCCTGAATGGAGAGAGAAGCAAGATTCAAGGATATGAAATAAAATACTTCAAATACTATATCCTAAATGATAAAAAAATATTGCCTACCCTCTTTTGAGTACCTCTAATGTGGTTTTTAATCTTTATAATGACACTACATCCTTTACATTAAATATTTGATATTTGAGGAAACCAGGTGTATTAGTCTGCTAGGGCTGCCATAACAAAGTACCACAGAGGGGGTGGCTTAAACAACAGAAATTTATTGTGTCGTGATTCTGGAGGATCAAAGTCTGAAGTCAAGGTGTTGGCAGGGTTAGTTCTTTCTGAGGTCTGTGAGGGAAGACTGTATTCCCTCTCCTTGGCTTGTAGATGGTATCTTCTCCCTGTCTTTTCACATCATCTTTCCTCTATGAATGTCTATCTCTATGTCCAAATTTGCTTTTTTTCTTTTTATAAGGACACCCGTCATATTGGATTAGGGCCCATACTAATGACCTTATCTTAACTAATTATAGAAATGACCTTATTTTCAAATGTCACCTTCTGACATACTGGGAGTTAGGACTTCAACATATGAATTTGGGAGGGGGCATTTGCACAATTCAACCCATAACACCAGGGTTCAAAGAAGCTCAATGACCTCAATTTCACACAGACCTTGAAATGCTAGTGCAGGGACTCCATAACTGTGTGACTCTAAAGCTTGTGTTCTTCCTGCTGTACTACACTTCATCTCAGATGAATCTTGCATGCAGCCTTGTGCAATGAGAATATTGTCTTTCCTTAAAACAACCAAACCAGCCTGGTTGAGGCATGGATCTATCCTGGAAAAAAGCCCATACTTAGCTATAAGGTCTCTCATCACATGAACTCGGAATAACGCCTTACACAAAGGAGAAACAGGAACATGTTTGTGGAGAGGTCCAATATAATGCCATTATACCATAGGCTAGAAACTGAATGTATACCTGAACGAGGGTTTAGGTTCTACCAGAATTCAAATGGTTCTGGAGCTGCTAAAATGGCCTCAACTCCAATTTGGTGATATTTTTCCTATGGCCTGTGGTTTGCATTTCTGGTGCTTTTAAACTGTATCCATATCTAAATGTGCCGTGCGTCTGTGGGCTGCTTCACATAGAGCATATTTAAACAATGTGTAATAAAACAACATATTTAAATCATACAAGAGAAAAAGGGTAGAATGTGTGCTCTAAAGTCTCTGCAGGCATTTACTGGATCATGGTAATGATAGTTTTCCTAAAAAAGGATAAAATATGTTCAGCTTCAATGAAGATTATATTTAAGGGGATTATCAGATTGTTTGGGATATTTTCCTTTTAAAAACAATTCTTTAGTGCATCCTAGGTGGGAGATAGGAATTATAACAGTGATTCAGAAATATGGCTTCATGCATATGAACATAATTGGAATCTTGTAGTATTCATCACTGTTTTATTCCAGATGGCAAAAAAATTATTATCCCTTTCAGTTAGTGCTTGAAATATCTACCTAGTACAGAAATAAGTCCATTATAAGATTTTCTTGCCAAAACCTTAATAGCTGCTCACTTACTGAGAAATATGTGTACTGAGAAATATTTAAGAAAAATACACTTTAATGAAGCTGCACTAATGATTTTTATTTAGCTAATTGTGTACCGGGATCTAAATATGATTTCAAGTAAAGTAGACTATTGGCCATATAAATAAGCCTGGCACAGGTGTGCAGAGTTTTAAGAGAATTATATAGCAGATCTAATGAAAATTAGAGTAAGTCTTAAATAAATGTTTTATCATAAATTAGATTTCCTATTATAAAGCAAATAGAGCCACATAACAGAAGTATTTTAAAATAAGGGTAAAAAATTGCTAACATATTGGGCGCCTGGGTGACTCAGTTGGTTAAGCGACTGCCTTCGGCTCAGGTCATGATCCTGGAGACCCGGGATCGAGTCCCGCATCGGGCTCCCTGCTCAGCGGGGAGTCTGCTTCTCCCTCTGACCCTCTTCCCTCTCGTGCTCTCTATCTCTCATTCTCTCTCTCTCAAATAAATAAATAAAATCTTTAAAAAAAATTGCTAACATATCAATAACCAAAAGCAACAAAAATTACCTTTTGGCATACTTGCTTCTCTTCCTTTTTCATTCATTTGTTCAACTAGGGATTAGTAAGTACTTAACTTAATGCAGACACTTGGGGAAAGATGGCTAGGATAAGATCTCTGTCCTGAATAAACTTTTAAATTATCAGGGAAAATACACAGTGAATGAGTCCTTATAACAGGTGGTAAGTGCAGTACTGGAGGCAAGTTAGCCAATGAGCTTGCTATCAACTCTATTTTCAGGTCTGGGAAGGCTTTAACAGGTAAGCTGAGATAGAAGAAATGAGTAGAAATCTGTTAGCTGGAAAAGAGAAGAAAATGTATTTTAGTTAGAGGAAAGAGCATCTGCTAAGGTATGGGAGGATTGAAATAACATTACGAGGAACTGTAAATAATGCAGCATGTCTGGAACAACAGAGAATGAGGTTGGAGAAGTAGGTGGAGGTGATATCATGGAGGGATTTGTGCCAATTATACTATTGGCAAGAAAGTTTTTCAAGTAGTGAAGGAATGTGTTTAGAATTTCATTTTAGAAAAATTAATCTTCAGCAATATGATTGGATGGATGGCTTAGAAACTACTAACCTTAGGAACTGAGAGTTTGGTAAGGAGCCAGATATACCAAGAAGCTGAAATAAAGCTTAAATTAAAAACTCTGGGCTTGCATGGGCCTCCAGCATAGGTAGGGACTCTAAAATGTGTTTTCATGGTCAT